AACAGGTTCTACTAGAACAGGGCAGTCCAACACAAGGACCACAAGCAGCCCTCAATGCCTTTTTTTGTGGCCCTCAGCACCTTTGCCTTCGCAATGTGAGGTGCTGGGCTTTGGAAAGGAGGCGTGAGGGCTTTGATGGGATCCTAGAGTTCTCCTTTGCAAAGCCTTGTTTCCAACTTTGGGAATAAGGCGGGAGGGCCCTAGGACCCTGCCAGAGTTGAGCATCTCCTTCCCAAAGCCCAGCACCTCACTTATCCACCTTTGGGAAGGCAGTGTGAGGGCTGGGGCACATCAAAGCTTGGCCTTGTCCCACACAAGGCAGTGTGCTGTCCGCAGGTTCTGTGTCGAGCTACTTTTGCCAGCCCACTTTGTATGAAAACTTGGACTGACAACAGCATGCTCCCCGTGAACATACTTTTCACCCAAAAACACAAAAGAACAAGCGAGGCACAGACAGGGACGTGGGTGGCGCTGTGGATTAAACCACAGAGCCTAGGACTTGCCCGATCAGAAGGTCGGCTGTTCGAATCCCCATGACAGGGTGAGCTCCCATTGCTTGGTCCCTGCTCCTGCCAACCTAGCAGTTCGAAAGCATGTCAAGTGCAAGTAGATAAATAGGTACCGCTCCGGTGGGAAGGTTAACGGTGTTTTCGTGTGCTGCTCTGGTTTGCCAGAAGCAGCTTAGTCATGCTGGCCACATGACCTGGAAGCTGTACGCCGGCTCCCTCAGCCAATAAAGTGAGATGAGTGCCGCAACCCCAGAGTCGTCCGCGACTGGACCTAATGGTCAGGGGTCCCTTTACCTTTACCTTTTTAAGTCAATCCAAAATCAGCTGGTGTGTGTGCCTGTGTGGGAGATAAGGCATGGTTTAGGGAAAACATCCTTATGTGCCCAAATGCAGGGCAAGATTTAGTTCATGGGCAGAGGTTCCTCACCCCTGCTCTAATCGGACCTCCAATATGGTACACAAAAGCACCCCAGCAGAATCTTCACCCAAGAAAGAATTGTGGAGGGGGCTGGGAGTAACCCCACTTGACCCAGGCCACAGAGCACTGAAGCAAAGGTTCAGGCTAGGGGAAGAAGAGGAAGGAGGTGGGAGATGAATGAGTTTCAGGAATACAGCGGACGCTCGGGATGCGAACGTGATCCGTGTGGTATGCACGTTCGCAACCTGCAGCGTTCGCAACCTGCAGCATTCGCAACCCACAGAGTTTGCAACCCTCGGTGCATCTGTGCACATGTGGGTTGCGCTTCTGTGCATGCGCAAAGCACGATTTATCACTTCTGCGCATGCACAACTGCCAAAACCCGGTACTTCCGGGTTTCAGCGGTCCATAACCCAAAAAAAGCAACCTGAAGCATCTGTAACCCAAGTTATGACTGTACAGCAGCTCAGCTGGTAATGTAGCAACAGTAAGGTCAACAACACACATTTTTAACAACAAAAATCAATATAAACTTATAGCAAGTGATTAGGATCCTTCCCACAAGGTTGGAACAGAAGCAAGCTTTGGATGTTTTCCTTTTAGCCTGCCTCTCTCCTTTTCCTAAGATCCCTCCCAAGGGTGGCTGGTGGCTGACAATCAAGCTAGATGAGGCTTCTTCATCTGTCTTCTTCCCTTTCTGCAGGATGGACTTATTCATAGGAGTAGAGGAAGCTGTCTTAGACAGAGCCAGATCACTGGCTCTTCTAGCTCGCTGCTGTCTACTGATTGACGGTGGACACTGAGAGTTTCAGCCAGAAATCTTTCCCAAACCTACCCTGGAAATGCCAGAAATTGAACGTGGGACCTTCTGCATGCAAAACTACATGCTCTGTGGTCTTTTGCTCAGGAGGGCAGGGTCACTGACTAGAGGCAATGACTGGAGCACACACACACACCTGGTTTGCAACAAAGCAGCATGGTCATACTTGTGGTGGAGGCAGGGAATGGATTGGGGAAAAGAGCAAGCATATAAAAATTCTGCAGTCACTTTACAAATGCAAAGGGGACCTGCTTGTTTAACCATGGCTTGCATCTTGGCAGATTAAGGGTCTGGCTTCAGCTAGAGGATGTTGTGAGCCTCAGTATAATGGGGGATCAAACCTGAAGTTTCCCCGGCATCTTTTTCACACTCATCACTGTTGTTGTGCTTTGTTCTAGCCTGTTCATTTTCTTCAAAATTGTTTGCAGCTCAGCGACAGTCTCTTTCTCGTACCCACCCACTCTCTTCCTCTACTCCCCTATGAAAGGGGAAGATAATTTCTCTGGAATAAAGAATAAACTTAATTACAGTTGCTGTGCCTGTGTGTGTGTGTGTGTGTGTAGATATATAAATACAGATATAGATAGTTTATACTGTTTACTTTATTACCATTGGTGTCTCTTCCACTCACTGAGTCTGGTTCTAAATATAGTGCTTTAGTTTATCACTTTGTATAACCGAGGACCCTACCGCCCACTAGTGGGCATTTCAGGATTCTAGGTAGGCGGTAGAGGGTTCTACGGCACAAGCCGAATCCTCCTTCCATCGAGCACTGGTGGGCGGTAAGGAAATCTTACCATCAAGAAAGATGCATTAGTGGGCGGTAGGTATAAAAAGGTTGACTACTCCTGAACCCCTAGCAAACTGGAAGGAATCTGAGACAGAGTCGCAGTTTTTGTTTCTGCTCTCAATCTCTCCCTGTGTGTGTTTGTGTGTCTCCCTCCCTTCTCCCTTTATCTGCTTCCCATTGATTGATTGATTGATTGATTGATTGATCGATCGATCAATTTCATACTCTTCAACTGTTTGGGAGGCTAAGCTCTTGCACGAGATTGCTGCCCCAAAAGATGTTTTTCCCAGTTTTCCTCTGGGACTTGTTGAAGGCAATCTTTGAAATCGAAAAATATATTATAGGGGGCATGCATGAATTGAGGCCAAGCTAGTTGTGAGTTACACATCCTAACAATGGGGAAGAAATTCTATTTGGGTCACATATTAATGCAAACTTTCAGTGTTCATACATCCAGAGATGATATACAAAGCAAAATATAACAATCCCTTTGCATTCTTACTTCTCCAATTTTTTGTGAAGGTAGTTCTCTCGCCAAATATTGTGTCCAAAAATGTTAGCATTATGGGAAAGTGTGGATGAAAATGCCTGTATTAGTGAAATAACATGCAAGAATATTAGGAGAAATTGTTTTCAAAAATGCATGTTTGGAAGGATGTGCATTTAAAGGCTGGTGCCTTTTCATCAGAGTGTCTTTTTTATGCAAACTGATACAGAAATGTGGAGAACTGGAGATCTGAAAAAAGAGAAATTGAGAAAAACTGAAATTGGCCACCCCAAGCAGTTTTAAAAATAAATAAATCATGTAGTCACCTAGTTAGTTTATAAAACAGTACAGAGTTCTGATCTGCTATGGCTAAAGTTGAACCAGATTTGCTCTAGTCACCTTATACAATCCCTGTAAACCAAAACTCACTTATCCAACACAGTTCTGTTAATGCTGTTCTGCTGCTCTGGGGTTGCTTTAAAAGCCGTTATAACAGCATAATAATCTGCTAGTTCAGCAGCCACTATAAATTGTCACGGCCTGCTCCTGAAGTTTGCTATTAATTACATCAATATTAAGATGGTTCCAGCTTCTGGCTAAACTCAGCCTTGATCAGCACTAGAGGCAAGTAAAGCCCTACGAAGATTTTAAGACTGGAAAGTTGGAAATAATTGGAAGTGTCTCCATCAGAGACCGGAAATTGTAGGGACGCGGGTGGCGCTGTGGGTTAAAGCCTCAGAGCCTAGGACTTGCCGATCGAAAGGTCGACGGTTCGAATCCGCACGGCGGGGTGCGCTCCTGCTGCTCGGTCCCAGCGCCTGCCAACCTAGCAGTTCGAAAGCACCTCCGGGTGCAAGTAGATAAATAGGGACCGCTTACTAGTGGGAAGGTAAACGGCATTCCGTGTGCTGCGCTGGCTCACCAGATGCAGCTTGTCACGCTGGCCACGTGACCCGGAAGTGTCTGCGGACAGCGCTGGCTCCCGGCCTATAGAGTGAGATGAGCGCACAACCCTAGAGTCTGTCAAGACTGGCCCGTACGGGCAGGGGTACCTTTACCTTTACCATCAGAGCAAGTGGAGCAGGGGCAGCTAAAGGATAGAGAGCTGGGTTCAAATCTCCACTCATCACATGGGTGATCTAGGGCCAATTTGCTGTCCCTCCAACTAAGCTGCCCCACAGGTACAATTCTCAGACTCGGGTCAGCTGCTGTTTAGGCTCTGAAATCTCAAACCGGAGAATCTTGTAACACCTAAAAGCTTATGGTGGCGTGGCTTGGAGCTGACTTACAAGATCAGGTGCATGACCTCTCAACTGGTGTGTGTACAGTCCTTGCGGAAGGAATATAGCAGGGGTCCCCAGCCTGCAGCCTATGGGCCGGAAGAGGCCTACGGAGGCCATTTAGCTGACCCACAAGCTGCTCCCCAACTGAGCTGCGAGTCCCTGCGCGCTGCACTAAACCGTCAAAGCATGGCACGGGGACTCTCTTCTGCGGCTCCAGAAATCGCTTCTGCACATGCCCAGATGCCGGAAATCGCATCTGCACACGTCTGTGGCACTGGGAATTGTTTCTACGCATGCCCAGACACCCAAAATTGCTTCTGCACAGGCACAATTTTTGGCATCTGGGCATGTGCAGAAGCAATTTCCGGTGTCGCGGACATGCACAGATGCGATTTCCAGCGATTTCCTGCACCGACCCACAGAGGATCTCCATGGGAGTGATCCGGCCCATGCCCGGTAAGCCTTGCCGACCCCTGGAATATAGTTTGGTGGTAGAGCTTTCTTCCTTGCACAAAGAAGATCTGGGGAAAGCTCCTGCCTGAAACCCGAGAGAAATGCTACCAGCCAGTGTGGACAACACTGAACTAGGTGGACGAATGGCACTTCCTATATTCATATGGCTTTTGTTGTTGTGTGCTTTGGTTTCTTACCTTGTAAACTAGTGACCCTTCTTCTTTTTCTTTTTCTCCCTAGGAAGTTCCTTTCTCTCGTGTGTGGCGCAATAACCAGCAGCCACTCCACTGTGCCTTTTCACTGGAGCGCTACACTCCTGCCACCACTCAGCTCTCGTGCAAAATCTGTGTCAGACAAGTCAAGGGCCATGAACAAATCCTGCAGATCCAGACATCAATTCTCGAGGCGAGTTCCCATCATCCATTCCCTACTTTGACACATTATATTTTCTGCAGAAATTATGCTTGTAGAGGGAAGTTGAGCATTCATTCTCAATGCTGATTAAAAGTGGTCCGAATTGAACTAAGGAAATTCACCAGAATGAATAAGGATGCTTGAGGAAACTTGTTGATCTTTGCTGATGGTGATATTTATTCTTCCAACCATTACATTTGCATCTCTTCTTCTCAAAGGAGCTCAGGGTGGCAAACAACAAGGCAATAAAACAACACAAATAAAATAAAATAAAATAAATAAAATAAATAGAAATAAAACAAAAAAAATACTTAGAAAAATTTATAACATCTAAAAACAGCCATATATTCTCAAATCTAATAATGTGAAGGTTGCTGGGAGCAGTATCCTTCATCCATCAAATGCCTGGGTGAAGGGGAATAGTCCCCCCTCCAATTGTTTCTGAATGTTATTAATAATCGAGGCAGATGCGCCTCATCACCAGGGCGGGGAGTCCACAAACAAGACGCAGTCACCAAAAAGGTCCTGTGACAGGTCAGCGCCAACAGAGCAGCGCCATCAGCGCCTGCTGATATGAACCGACCTGCCCCTCACTTCCTGGACTAATGTGTAGGTCAGGGTATAGGTCATCATCATAATTACAGTGGCTCCTTGGTTCTCAAACTTAATCCATTCCGGAAGTCCGTACCAAAACCAAAGCGTTCCAAAACCAAGGCGCGCTTTCCCTTAGGAAGTAATGCGAAATGGATTAATCCGTTCCAGACTTTTAAAAACAACCCCTAAAACAGCAGTTTAACATGAATTTTACTATCTTACGAGACCACTGATCCATAAAATGAAAGCAAAAAACAATGTACTCTACAGTGGTACCTCTGGTCAACGCTTCTGGTTACAAATGCTTCAGGTTGTGAGCTCCGCTAACCCGGAAGTAGATGCTCCTGGTTGCGAACTTTGCCCCTGGATGCAAACGTAAAAGATCACATAACCATAGAGTTGGAAGGGACCACAAGGGTCATCTAGTCCAGCCCCCTGCAATGCAGGAATCTTTTGCCCAACAAAGGGCTCAGATCCACAACCCCGAGATTAAGAGTCACACACTTTACTGACTGAATGTTTAACAGACCACTGTATTTTAATACTTTGTTGGAAGCTGCCCAGGGTGGCTGGGGAAACCCAGCCAGATGGGCAGGGTATAAATAATAAATTATTATTATTATTATTATTATTATTATTATTATTATGAACGATCCCAGCTTCTAGATGATGGAAATACAAAAACTTTCTTTAGGCATCCAGTTTGAAAGTGCAATGGGACATGTAGAAAAATAGGAAGTGAGCCTTGCCCACTTGACTACCCTGCATGCATCAATCACACTGCGATTGGCATTAGCCCGAAGGTGTCTACCTTACTCATAGGAACATAGGAAGCTGTCTTCTGCTGAGCCAGACTATTGGCCCATCTAGCTCAGTACGTAGGGTTCCCACATTTTTTTGTTTATTTATTTACTATTTCCACATGCACACTGCTTTTCCACATACAGTGGTACCTCGCAAGACGAATGCCTCGCAAGACGGAAAACTTGCAAGACGAAAGGGTTTTTGGTTTTTTGAGTTGCTTCACAAGACGATTTTCCCTATGGGCTTGCTTCGCAAGATGGAAACGTCTTGCAAGTTTGTTTCCTTTTTCTTAACACCGTTAATACAGTTGCGACTTGACTTCGAGGAGCAACTCATAGCACGCGGTGTGGTAGCCTTTTTTTGAGGTTTTTGAAGACTTTGGTGATTTTTGAAGCTTTTCCAAAACTTTTCCAAAACCATGCTTCGCAAGACGGAAAAATCGCAAGATGAAAAAACTTGCGGAACAAATTAATTTCGTCTTGCGAGGCACCACTGTAAGTGGGTTCAAAGAGGCTCACAATGCAGCAGCAAGAAAAACAAGCCAGTACATCATTGGAATAATAGGGTGGTTTCACACTAAATTCTGCTCAAAGCAGACCCATTACAATTCATGACCCTAAATTAATCCCATCCATTAACTTCAACAGGTCCACTCTGAAGAGGACTAAGATAAGACCCATAGTCTTAATGCTAATTCATTTCAAAACATGATAACAACCACACACAAAGACCTGCAAAAACAATTTCGAAAGCAAAATACAGCAGAGATACAAGAAAAACATTGCTAGGCAGTCATTGTGTTTTATCCACAGCACATAGCCAATTAGATAAGTAATTCGTTTTGATATCATAGATGTTTTAACATTTTAAATTCATTGCAAAATAAACCACCCAACATGAAAACATATGAATTGGTTAAAATATATACAGTGGTTGTTGTTGTTGTTTAGTCATGTCCGACTCTTCGTGACCCCATGGACCAGAGCACGCCAGGCACTTCTGTCCTCCACTGCCGCCCACAGCTTGGTCAAAATATACAGTGGTACCTCGGGTTAAGAACTTAATTCGTTCTGGATGTTCGTTCTTAACCTGAAACTGTTCTTTACCTGAAGCACTACTTTACAGGGAGCACTAGTTACAGGGAACCAGGCAGAGGGCCTTCTCGGTAGTGGCGCCTTCCCTGTGGAACACCCTCGCACCAGATGTCAAAGAGAACAACAACTACCAGGCTTTTAGAAGACATCTGAAGGCAGCCCTTTTTAATGTTTGATGTATTATAGTATTTTAATATTCTTTTGGAAGCCGCCCAGAGTGGCTGGGGAAGCCCAGCCAGATGGGCGGGGTATAAATAAATTATTATTATTATTATTATTATTATTATTATTATTATTATTATTATTTAGCTAATGGGGCCTCCCGATGCCGCCGTGCCGCCAGAGCACAATTTCTCTTCTCATCCTGAAGCAAAGTTCTTAACCCGAGGTAGTATTTCTGGGTTAGCGGAGTCTGTAACCTGAAGCATCTGTAACCTGAAGAGTCTGTAACCTGAGGTACCACTATAAATCCGAGTCAAATATGATAAGCATTTCCAATTCAATCAGATATTAACAATACCACAACCAATACATAGCAGTACTATACCAAGTGGTATAAAAACTACCAAATAAAAGTGCATAAAATATGGGGCAGAAGTGGTAGTCAATCAGGGTTCGTGTCCCCATGGTGATGGTAGCAGTACTACTGTCCCCATGTTAAAAACTTTACAATTTGTCTTCCTTGTCTCTCTCCTACTAACACTGATAGAACCACTAAATGTCTGTTTCATATGCACATCAATCCGGCACTGACAGGAGACTGTGCCCAGTGCACAAAAATTCACTGAGGGAGGAGGGCTCACTCCATGCATTCTAGCTTCCTCCTTCGCATGTTCAACGGTTCATTCAACAACTTAAAATGAAAACAGGCTCATTGCTTCCGCATATTGTGTTTTTACAAGCCAGGTAGCAGCAGCTTATCTTCAAAGTGCAGAGCTCCAAATCTGCTGCATATTTAATTAAAAACAATCAGAAAATAGGACGAACCTACAGCACTCCTATTACTTTGCATGGATGTCTCTTGAGATGTGCCATAAATGTTATACGGAAAGGATTGTAGCACCATTTGCCTGAAGTATTTACATCATGCCAGCACCCAGAAGTCCCAGGCAAGAGGCATATCCTGTTTTTATTATTATTATTATTATTATTATTATTATTATTATTATTATTATTATTTGAATTTATATACCTATACCATCCTATACTTGGGGGTCTCAGTGCTTCCTGAATGGCGGGTGCTTCCCAAATGGAGTTTATTATTGCCTCAGTGCTCCTCAAATCTGGACATAATTTACATTGTCCACATGATGATGTCCTTAGCAAAATGCAAGGCCATACTTTTTCTTTTTAAATTACATCTGGATTTCTCCTTAAATCTGATGAGTAAAACTAACCCGTTGTTCCTCTTTCTTTGCCAAATGAAACTCAAGTGAGGAAGCAACATGACATGGCACTATTATTATTATTATTATTATTATTATTATTATTATTGCCTACAAATTGCTTAATATTTTAAACATCTAAGCAGAGCACAATATAAAAGCAAAAGTTGTAGTATAACAAAAATACAACTCACCTTTTTGTCCAGGGTCTTTCTGACAAATAACAGCAGACCCCATTTTTGTGTTTAAATCCCCCAAATCCCTGTTTCCTTTTTAAAAATATGCGTTTAGATTACTGTTTTACTGAAACATTATCTGCTCAGCATGGCAAAAACTTGCCAGAAGAGGAAAAAATTCACCAAGTGATAAAAACTAATAGGAAGGGAAGGCAATATATTCCATAACCTGGGTGCAGCCACCAATCTGCCCTTTCTTATATCCCAACCAATTGTGCTTCCAGCAACAGGCTTTCCCCCCATCTGGTGGCCACTTTCTTTTCCTACCCAGATATCATCGCAGGATAGAACAATGCCATCATATAGCACCATTCTAAGGAGATCTCTGAGTGTGTGTATTTTCTTTTCCTTAAATGGCAGCTCTTGAGATTGTACGAAGTGCTGTTGTTGCTCAAGGTCAGCCGTCCCTGAAAACCACCCAAATCACCTCCCTCAATTTTGCTGGCATTTCTACTTAGCTGTAGTGAATGTAGTACATTTTCAGATTTCTCAGCACTGCTGTGACTCTACCCAGAGCCCAGTACAATGAGTGTAATGCCTGTGATTTTTCTTTAGCAAATATAACTCTTGTTTAACGGCATTAGAAAGCAAGGAACAGCCCTTTCCAGTGAGCTGAACAAGCTAGACTAGTGAGAGAGCTCAACTCAACAACGGTTTTGTTTTTGTGCGTAGAATGAAAAGGAAACCATCACATTCTTTGCACATGATGACAGTAACTTTCCTGCTCAGATGGGTCCGCAAGCCTTCAAGATTCCCTACTCCATCAGGCAAAGGATATGCGCAACTTTTGACACACCCAGCGCCAAAGGCAAAGACTGGCAGATGTTAGCACAGAAAAACAGCATCAACAGGTAATCCAATGCAATTCTGAATGGCAACCAGTCCATTGCTGTTATTGGAGCAGTGTGCTGCGACATTCCCTGCTCCCTGCCTTCTTTACCGTTCTCAGTCACTGTTGTTATATTTGCACATCAATCTGCAATTCAGACATTTCCCAATATCTTGAAAGCTGCAACATTTTAAATTATCATCAGGACGCTGTTCCCAGTGTAGGGCCTGCAGGATACTTCCTTGGAAGTTTTTAAGCAGATGTTGGATGGCTATCTGTCATGCATGCTTTAGCTGAGAATCCTGCACTGCAAGGGGTTGGACTAGATGACCCCTGGGTCCCTTATGATTCTATGATCCACCAGCACCTTTCAGAAATTTCCACCTCCGAAAGGTTTGCCTTATGCCATCATTTGCTTCCTTTCAGAAGCATACCAACACCTGTTCCTAGAAGATTTCGAGGCTGCTGCTTGACAAAACGGTTGCTTTAAGTTTGAGATAATCCCATTTATGTGTTTGGGTTCTTTTTGAAAAGAAAGAAAGAAAAGGAAACAAAATCTTAGGTTTTCATTCATTACATTTTGATGAGGTTACATCTTCATATTGTAAATGAACGCCAAATTTTTCATCCTGGTTACAATTAATTGGAACTCGATGGAAAATATTTTTTTTCTCAGGAAAGCAGAAGTTAATTACACATTTGCTTGAAAAAGGCTGTGTGTGTCAATTCAACAGTACTGAGTTGTACAGTACATTGCATATTTTGTTATTTACTATTGTATGTGTTGATTCATTACATATGAGAGTATAATTCAATGATTGTTTTTAAGTGTGGTTGGGTATGAAGGTTCTGGCTGTTGTTGTTATTAGGTAAAACCTATATCATGTATAGATTTATATTGTAAACCACTTTACAAACAATAACAATGGGTGTCCGAAATGCTGTAAAACAAATAATGTGCAAATTAAATGTGGCAGAGTAGAATTTATAAGAGTGTCGATATTGCATTGCAATATTCTGCCACGCCTGATGATAATCATTTTAACTTACCTGAATTTGTAAGGCTTTTCTTAAAAAATGAACATATAGTGTGATTTGTGGAAAGGCCATTGTTCATCGATTGAGCCCATGCTTTCTATGCAGAAGTATCCAGATCCAATCCCTGACACCTCCAGAGAGGACTTGCAAAAACTCCTTCCCCAACCTTTGGTCCTAGGTGTCGTTAGACTACAACATGGGAAGGCTGATGCAGCAATACTGAGCTAAACTGGCCATTGACTCAGTGTGAGGCAGCCTCCTATTCTCTTTCTGCAAAGCTCCAAGTTTTAGGCTGCCTCCTTCCTCCTTCCTGCAGCAGTCCACTTTCTCTCACACTCTCTTCGGTTCCAATCCCCACTACAGCCTAAAAACAATGGGCTGATGAGCAGGGCTGTTTTCAGCCAGAAGTCAGTTCCAGCATCTCCAATGGCAATGCCACCCAATCTCCCATGGGTGCCATTGCCATCATAAGAGAACAAGGGAGGCATTCATGGTGAGTTCCAACACCTCTTTTTCTAGAAACGCAGCACTGCCAATGAGTAAGAAAGCAATAGAAGCAGCTGCTCTTTTTGTTCACTCCCATTGCTTGATGGTTCTCTTCCTCGGCAACAGAAGGATTGAATGGAGGGCAGTGGCAAGAAGAAGATCAGCACAGCCAGTGGGGGCTGAAATGTGGGCTGCAGTTGATGCCCAACAAAACTGATTCTCATGATTGCATCAACAAGAATAGCCTCAACTATTCTAGCCAGTCAATCCGCGCCCTCCCCATTCCTTTCTTGATTTTATTAAAAAGAATTGGATGAAAATATATGCTTCTGTGCAAGGTAGTTTGGAAGGGTGTTGAATGTGTATCTAAATAATAATTAAAGGTAAAGGGACCCCTGACCGTTAAGTCCAGTCGCGGACGACTCTGGGGTTGCGGCACTCATCTCACTTTACTAGCCGAGGGCGCCGACATACAGCTCCCGGTTCATGTGGCCAGCATGACTAAGCCGCTTCTGGCAAACCAGAGCAGTGCACGGAAACGGCGTTTACCTTCCTGCTGGAGCGGTACCTATTTATCTACTTGCACTTTGACGTGCTTTTGAACTTCTAGGTTGGCAGGAGCTGGGACCAAGCAACGGGAGCTCACCCCGTCATGGGGATTCGAACCGCTGACTTTCTGATTGGCAAGTCCTAGGCTCTGTGGTTTAGACCACAGCGCCACCCAGGTCCCATAAATAATGGCAATAATATCAATTAACCTGTACAACCCATCCACAATAATAGTTTACGTCCAAATTGATACCTTTCCCACCCATGTGGCAGTTGAAGATGATGGCAGCATACACTGACCTTGTGCCTTCTCCTTGGTGGGACTGATGCGCAGTAGCATATGTTTGCCACTGGGGATCTGTAGCCGTAGCCTCTGGCAAGAAAACTAACTGCTCTAGCTGGGTCCTGCCAGCAAGCTACATTCTGTGACTTAGGGCAGGGGAAAGGGGAGGCAGAAGCAGCTCCTGGGATGTCTGTAGGGTTTTGCTTGTCTTGATCCTGCACACAAACTTCCAAGAAGACTTGTTTGCCTATGGAAGTAGGTGCCTTTGCTTGGATACTGCTGGCGCTCTTGTTTGAATCTAAAACAGCCAAGTGGCACAATTTCAGTAGGGGAGAGATTACCTGGATTAGTGATGAGTGGGACCTGCAACAAAACACTACAGGGCATCCTCGCCTCTTAGCAAGAGGACTGCTGTTGAAGGGTCTTGTCCGCAGTGGCTGTCGAGAAAGTCCAGCCCTTATTGGGGGCTTAGTTGTATTTGTTGTGAAGATGCCAGCATGGTGATATACCTTCGACTTTCTCAGTAGCCCCATTGCAGGTCTATTTCCATTAGCACTCAACAGCTCATCAGTTTGGGAATGATGTCTTCCCTGAAGGCAAAATTTAAAAGGAATTGCATTTTTATCTTTTTAATCAGCAGACCTGGGAAACAAGTGGGTGCAGAGCTGAATCCAATGTCAGTCCTGCTCGGAGTAGACACATTGAAATGAATGAACCCAACTGAGTCGTGTCCTTTTAACTTCTACTCTGAATGGGACCGGGTCCAACCCACAGAACCCAACTTGCTATTATGAATTTAAAACTTTAAAAAGGTTGAGCCGTTGAAGAAGCTGAACGCTTGTACTTCTTTCTTTTCACAAAGAAAAGGGAGAAGAGAATCTCATTAACAGGCAAGCCAAATTCTGTACCTTTTTAAACAGTGGATCTCTTCCCAAGCTCCTATCCTGGGCATTTGTTAGACTTGTTTGGAACTAGCTGAGCCTTCTGGAACTGAAGCATGTGTGTTTTCTATTGGCTACACTAATTGCTCATGGAAGGAAGGAACAAGGCACCAGAGGCAAATTGGAGCTGGGTGCTTTCTGGATGTTTGGAACAACTATCCAGCCTGCAGTCTGTTTTGTATGGATTTTGAACCAAGATATGTGGTTTTTAGAACAAGCGAGTGCAGGTGGCTGAGCTGGCTGGCTGGCTGTCTTTTTTTTTTCTGGGGGTTTGTTGTCGTTGAGTTCCTTGTGTTTCCTTGCTAGGAACATTGTTCAGCTATCTATTATTAATGAAAAGACTGGAAAGGGACTACTTGGTTGCATTTCTGGCAGAGAGACTGCACACGTGAGCAGTATATTAACATTGTCTACCGTGACCGTAAATGACGCAGCACTAGAAATCACCAGAGAAACTGTGGGAGCTTCAGGTCCTCCTTCTCATTGCACTGCAGATAATTCCTCTGCATTGTGTATTTCAGGGATGTCCAACATGTGGCCTTCCATATATTGTTGGCCTTCAGCTCCCATCAGTTCTGACTCTGGGCAGTGCAGCCTCCTGTTAGAGAGGAACACAGATGTCAATTTCAGTTTCTAGTTTCACTAACCTTAAGATAATTCCACCCCATTTTTGCATTGATTTGCCATTTATTTATTTTTAAAGTCTGCACAAAAAAGGTGTGTGTTTTCATGCTCATGTATCTTTCAAATATATGGAATTTTGTTCAATGTACACATTTTGGCAAGGAATTTTTTCATAGGCTTTGCATGTTATTCTTCATTAATATATGCATTTTTGTTCACACATTTTTCTGGTTGGAGAACCACACCACTGAATTCAGAGACATGTGACTCTTGAAGGACAGTTGTGGTTTGTTTTGTTTATTGGTTGGAGAAGTGTGAATTAGGTAGGTGCACATTAAAATCTGAACCCAATGAATTCCCCTTCATCCCTAGCTGGAGTCTAGCATCATCTGGATTGCTATAGAGTACCTACCGCTGGTGTGCTTTCACATACATAGGTGCCCATTCAAGCTGTACATGGTGTTTTTTTTAAAGACACTTTGTTTTTTGTGGTCCATGGCTATGGTCATCCTGGAACTGAAGGAGTGGAAAGATTTTGGGGGAAGGGATGTTGCTTCTCTTAGGCACTCTGGTGAGACAATCCATGGGCAGATAGGGTCTCAGCCTGTGTACCAGGTGGAGCTGGTAAACAGCTGCCCTGGATACAGATTTGACCTGTGCCTCCATGGACAGCTGTGAGTCCAAAATGACTCCCAGGCTGCGCACCTGGTCCTTCAGGGGCACAGTTACCCCATTCAGGACCAGGGAGTCCTATTAACCCATCTCTTCTACTTCGTGCTGCTTCTAGGATTTAGCAAAGATACCTCATGATCAGCACCGTTGAAATGGTACTTCCAGGCCCTGAGCTGATTCACACATGCACCAACACCTAGGCATCTCACTGGTGACGCACCCAGATATCTCACCACTTGGTGGTGATGAGCCACAGCTAAACACAAGAACTGCCTCCACTGAAATGTAATATGCATGAGATAACTTAAGAGTGTATGAAAAAGTCTGTGGTGATAAATTTCACATAGTCAGTGTGATATGAAGCAGTGGACCCACGCTTATGTGAACTGACCTCAGTCACTGTCTGAGAAGTTCTTTGAGCGATTGTAGTTCCACAGAGATTTAATTCCAGAAAGCCTTACATGGATGTATTATGTATAATAAGCTGTATGTAAATATGACTATGCATATGCATGCTTGCTAGCTTGCTAGTTTTACTTGGATGATTATTCCCAGAGGAAATAACACAAGTCAATTTGTCAAAAGGCACAGTCTCTTAATAGCACAGTCTGAAAATAATATGCATTCAGAAACCAGTTTGTTCCAGCAGGTCTTGCGCAAATAAATGCCCTGAACGTTCCCATCAATCTTGTGTGCGCACTTTAGCAAAATATATAAAAAATGGCTTATGAAGAAAGGCAACTAAAAAAAAAAAATCAAGTTCCATGCCAAAGCACACCAAACCTTGCATACAAACTCACAATATTTGCTTGTGTCATGGTGATTTGTTACTAAATTATGGATCGTGCTTTAGAAGTCCTTGTTATTTACACTGGGATGCAGGTACCTTTGTTCATGCAAACAGCCTTGTTTATCCAGCTCTCTAAAAAGTCAATGTGTTGCTACCACTTAGCCAAAAAGTTCATTTCCAAAAAAATGCACTGCTATTCCTGTGTGCCATCGTGATATTAAGCCTATTATTTAGACGCAGCGTATTTTCGTGGAATGTGCAGCCTGTGGATTGTATCCAGTGTTCTCTGTCTGTTAATGGAAGTGCTCATGTGAGTTTTAGTGCTGTGGAACAGATGAATCTAACACAACAGTTGTGCTAGTGGAAACTCTTCACTCAATGTATTGTGCAGTCTATTGTGCAACTAAGGTTGCATCCAGACACTTTATTTTGTTTCTCTGGCACTTTCTTACTTGATCAGTTCTGCCTTCTCTGTGACATAAAAGCCACTTCTGAAGTCTAGCAGAAATTCAGTACTCATCTCTAGGTTAGTTGCTTCCAGAAAAGAAAAGAAAATCCTGTTAACTTGGAAAATTATCGGACAAAATCTGGGGCGGCATTCTGGCATACTGTACTTTCCTGCTATTTTCGTGGTTGAATCATGGGGAAACAGAAACAGGCATGCACATAAAGGTGGTGACATGTCCAATGACGCCCACGGTTGCATCACACCACACCCATTGGTGTGAATGAATTTAGTGTGACATGTGGCTTATTGATTAAAAAAACACCTCACAGTTCCATAATGCAACAGGTAGTTCAGTCAGTACGGCGTTCCGTGTGCTGCACTGGCTCGCCAGATGCAGCTTTGTCACGCTGGCCATGTGACCCGGAAGTGTCTCCGGAGAGTGCTGGCCCCCCGGCCTCTTGAGTGAGATGGGTGCACAACCCCAGAGTCTGTCAAGACTGGCCCGTACGGGCAGGGGTACCTTTACATTTACCTTTACCTAGCTCAGTCAGTAGAGCATGAGACTTTTAATCTCAAGGTCAGGGGTTCAAGCCCCACCAATGATCTACTGCAGACGTCCAGTGATCTACCGGTAGATCACGATCTACCTGTTGGACATGCCTGAACTAGATGACCCTTGTGGTCCCTCCAAGTCTGCATTTCTATGATTCTATGCAGTGTAACAGGAACATTAAAAACTGGGACAGGCATGCTAGCATTATAACCTGGAAAACATTTGGAGTAAGCCCCACGTCTGAATGTACCCAAAGTTACCTGCTTATGCATTCTCTTGTTCACCAATGTTCTCCTGGCACAAGACATTTCAGCAGTGGAACCGTTAAGAGAACTTAACTTAGTGCTGCAGCCTTAAAAGTAGTTAGATTTGAAAGTTCCTCCCTACATTTCCCAGAGATCGCCTGAGTTTTGCAAGCAATCCTACCAAGTATCTGTGAGGGGGGGCAGTCACCATCCTGAAGCCTAACCCCTTTGTTTTTGCCTCTCTCATTTAGGAATTTGTCTTACTTTGCTACCCAGCGCAGCCCATCTGCTGTTATTTTGGACTTGTGGGAAGCCAGGCATCAGCACGATGGCGATTTAGACTCTCTAGCCTGTGCACTGGAAGAGATAGGAAGGACACAGCCCAAAAACTCTAATCTAACAGAAACTCAAATCGAGGAGTCCAACTTCAGCTACAGCAGACAAAATGGACTTTAGTCATCACTTTCGAAGAACTGATAGCCAGCTTGGACTTTGTAACTGAGGGAATTCCTGTGAGCCGGAAGAAACCATGTGCTACAATCACACATCCTTCCCATGATTCATTGGCTCTCTCCTTCACGCCATCAAACCAATTTGCATCTGGAGGAACAGAAGAAGCTGGCAAGCCATAAAGAAGACCCAGGCCCCTTTACACAACTGTTGCTGTAAGAGGGTGGGGAAAACAATCTCCCAATGAAGATTAAAGATTAAATCACAATGAAGATTAAATTTGATACTTAAGTGCAGAAAATGAGTACGATCTTTTGGCTACCACAACCAAGAGAGGAAAAGATTAAAATTATGGAATATTTAAAAGATGCCTGGATTTTTCTAAATCTTAGACCTCTCTGTGTTTTGGTTTGCTCAGTTGTTTCTTCTCTATGTGTTTTGTGGCTTTCTTGTTTAGTTTTCAACTAAAGCCAAGCAGCGTGGGCACTCACTGAGGCAATGGCCATTTAGAGGGCTCAGGTAAGATGGAGCTGGTGCCACAATCACCACTAGAAAGAGGGGGGAGGACAGAAAACAATGAATTGCTAGAAGTTGGTATCTGCCTTGGGTACAAAAACTTTGTGTGATTAACCTGCTTTTTAAGAAAGTGGTTGGGTGCATTAATATTAGGGTGTGCACTGACCACAAGATTTGGTTTGGGCTGCAATTTGGCACTTTGGAAAACAGCTTACCTTGGTTGGAGGTGCTGTGTGATTTGACGCAGAGGCCATCAGAGTCTGCTTCAATCGCCCCCATCCTCTCCACTTCTGGAAAATTTTCAAATGGGGCTGTAACATTTCCTTCCTTTTCACAGAAGTGGGTAAAATTTGAAGGTATTGTAGAGTCTCAAGAGTGGATTAACACTGCTGAATTACAGGCAAATAAGTGCAACTGATTAAAAGTCTTTTTTTTAAAAAAAAAGCAGAAATATCTGTAACTTTTTAAAATTTTGGCAGAATTGAATGAAATATGCAGGTAAGGCTGCCCTTTCTTGGGGCACGAATTTCTCCAAATTTCAGAAGGACACATTCAGTGGTTTTATTCCAAGGACAGCCATTATAGGGTGGGTAAAATCACTCAGTCTCCTAGTGTTTTGTGGGGATTCAGTTAGAAAAGTTGCCCCTAGGTAAGAAATCTGCCAAATTGCAGACAAATTGGTTCAGGGGCTTTTGTTCTAGGCACTTTAAAAGTTGGTTTTGGGGTGAGAAGGGATTTTCTTTTCAGGTAAAATGATTTCCTCCGCTTATAAGCATTCACAGTTGAACTCTCCTTCTGCCCTCTCCCCACCCTGGTGTCATGATAACCTTAGATACATTAGTTTGCTCTTGGCAGGCATTTCTCTGCAGCATCATTGCAAACATCATTGTTTGGATGGCTGAGGCACCATAAAGCGCTTCAGTAGTCACAACTTGTGGATAGCACAACCCATTCCCCCTCTGGCAAGTCCAAAATCCCCCCAAGACACCCCAGTTCATCCAAAGTTCATCCTAAGTAACATCTGTTTACTCATATAAGAAGATTGGACTCAGGAGACACGTGGTTAGATCTCCTGACTTTTTAAATAAAAAAATAAAATCGGTTTTGAGGAGTTCCCCATTTTTAAATTGGAGCATGCCCAGTGGAGGGCGTTTTTCCAACCCTTTCCCTGGTAAGAGTCACTCTTCCCACAGGTGCTATTAGACCTCAGGGAAAAAAATCACAAACATCTGTGTCATACCAGTATTTTGTCCCCTAGTGGGTGTGTATGTGGGAGAGCTAGATTTAGATCAAGGAAACTGGAAGAGAAGCTTTCCTGCATTGCTGCTCCCATTATCAAAGACCCGTGTGGCAATTTTGCATGGCTGGGGGTGGAATTTTCTGAAAATCTCAATGTGGAGCTTATCTACACGAATCTTTTCCCATTCCCGTCTTGCTCATTGATCTTGACAAGAAGTGAGCTATTTCTTTTTACTAGTTCTCCTAAAACTATGAACAAATATTGCATATTATATGCATTATTATACAGGTACATATAAAATTATATGCATATACACACCAGGTTTCCTAAAGTAGCCAGCACATAAATAGATACATTGAACAATGCATATAACTGTATAAAAAATACTTATATGTTGATACTTATAAAATTATGCTGCAGAAATATGGTGCCGCCTCGTGCTTGACTTTTTTATATGTATTACACGTTATATATATGTATTTGCATATAATTAGTTGACCTTCTTTAAAGAGAAAACAGGGCACAAGCATGTTGGATGTAAGAGACGGTCAGATGCAGGAAAAATTCAGCTGTGTCAGGACTTCCAGATTTCAGGTATAAACCTTCCTTCTCCATTTCTAGGTGACATTCACACCATGCATTTAAAGCTTTATGATACTGGTTCTCCCTCAAAGAACTATGGGAGCTGTAGTTTGTTCAGTATGCTGAGAGTTGATAGGATAAACCTATTCCCCACACAAAGCCACAATTTCTAGATTTCCCTCTGAAGAAGGATTGGTAGTGATATGGGAGAGGAGCAGCTCCACCCCATACCCTCCAACATTTCTCCAATGAAAACAAGGACGTCCTAAGGAAAAGTGGGGCGTTCTGGGATCAAATCAGAAACCGAGACAGCTTCTGTAAACCCCTGGAAAATAGGGACAATTGGAGGGTCTGCTATCCCTGAGCTAAGACACTTCAAAACAATGACAGAGTGAAAGTCGCTGAGATATTTTCACTTTCATTTCCTTGTTGCATTAATTTTTGGAACTCCCTCTTTTGCTAATTAGTGCTCCCACTGGGGCTTGGCCTAAGGACTTTGGAATCCTTCAAGCAAGAGTGGGGAGCCTGTGGCCCTCCAGACGCTGTAGGACCCCCAACTTCCACCAGCTGCAGCCACCTTGGCCACTGCTCTGGGATGATGGGAGGTGTAGCCCCAACAACATCATGGCTGCCACTGGTTCCTCACTCCTGTTTTAAAGGTACACGTGAGAGGAAGTGAGAGGCCCCCGAGACCATATAACACCGGTCCTGAGAGATCTGCTGTGGCTCCCAGTATGTTTCCGAGCACAGTTCAAAGTGTTGGTGCTGACCTTTAAAGCCCTAAACGGCCTCGGTCCTGTATACCTGAAGGAGCATCTCCACTCCCATCATTCACTGAGATCCAGCGCCGAGGGCCTTCTGGCAGTTCCCTCACTGTGAGAAGTAAGGTTACAGGGAACCAGTCAGAGGGCCTTTTCGGTAGTGGCGCCTGCCCTGTGGAACGCCCTCCCATCAGATGTCAAGGCAATAAGCAATTATCTTACTTTTACAAGACATCTGAAGGCAGCCCTGTTTAGGGATGTTTTTAATGTTTAATGCTGTATTGTGTTTTTAATACAGTGGTGCCTCGCAAGACGAAAAGAATCCGTTCCGCGATTCTCTTCATCTAGCGGTTTTTTCGTCTTGCGAAGCAACCCTATTAGCAGCTTAGTGGATTAGCGCTATTAGCGGCTTAGCGGCTATTAAAGGTTTAGCGGCTTAGCTGCTTAGAAAAAGGGGGGAAGCGGGGGGGGGGGAAATCGCAAGACTAGCAAGACGTTTCATCTTGCGAAGCAACTCAAAAACGGAAAACACTTTCGTCTAGCGGGTTTTCCGTCTTGCGAGGCATTCGTCTTGCGGGGTACCACTGTATTCGGTTGGAAGCTGCTAAGAGTGGCTGAGGAAACCCAGCCAGATGGGCAGGGTATTATTATTATTATTATTATTATTATTATTATTATTATTATTATTATTATTATATGCCTCTGACTAAAGAGCTTAGTTGGGCCGGTTGGGGGTATTTCTGGTTAGCAGAATTTTTTTTCCAATACTTGGTAGTTTTTTCAGACAAAATTACACTTTCAGAAGCTCTGAAAAATGGATAGATTCTTCCCAATCTGGTCAGGTATATACTGAATATGTATCTCTGTATCCTGGCCTCTTTGAGTTTTTAGAACCCACCCTATTCTTGTGACTGAAACCCGTTTTAACTTTTTTCCTATTGCATTTCAAATGGTTGTAATCTACCCTGGGACCCGGTGGGTAATGAATTGAAATAATAATTATAATTATTTGTCTGGCAAAAAAAGGGATCATGCCCTTTTTTTTTAACCCTTCAGATTGGCAGATTTATTTAGTAGTCATATCATAATAATTATTACATAATATAATTATGATATATAATTCTATAATATAATTCAAAAAATTATAATAAGTACAGGTATTACAATAAGTACAATGTACAATTAGTGTACTATCATAGCTGCAAACACACACACACAATACCAAAATTACAAAATGGGGGAACCCCAGTTCCGTAGCTCTGTAGGAAGAGGACAGATACCCACTCAACCAAAGACCACTTGGGTCAAGACCAATTGTCAACAAAAGCATGCAGGAACAGCAGAAGATGCCCCTCCGATTTGTCTTTCCATTGCCCCTAACTCCTAGGAGCTCAGGGTTCATGGTGTTCACCCCTCTGTGCCAATCAGAAGCTGCGGAAGCCCCGTCGGACACTCGGCTTCCAAAAATAGTTTGCAAACCGGAACACTCACTTCTGGGTTTGTGGTGTTTGGGAGGCGAAACATTCGAGAACTAAGCTGTTTGGAAACCAAGGTACGACTGTGTATCCCTGGAACAAGTGAGAGGGTCATGCAAGCTCATTCTGTCCCCACCACCCCATGTTGGGCAGCCAGACTCCTCCACCGTGACAAATGCAGCAGGTACAAGAAGAGACTCCATGCAAGCCCAGGAGCCACATGAGGCAGAGAGACATAGATCAGTTGCAAGAGCATCTGTCTTGAGAAGGTACCAGGTTCAATCCCTAGGATTTTCAAGGCTGGGAGAAGCTCCTGTCTGAAACCCTAGAGAGCTGATGCCAGTTCGTGTAGACAATACTGAGCAAGATGGACCATGTTCTGATCATATCAGGCAGCTTCTTCTCCTCCTGTCAGGTCTGAATGTGGCTACCAAGCACATCAGTGGTCATGGGCGAAGCTATCACACAAGCTCCCATGAACCCCCCATGTGTTCCAGAAATGCCAGGAGGTATCTGAACTGCTTGTTTCCGTGTTTCATTAAACAAAACACGGCAGGATTAAAATTACTGCCAGAAATAACTAGTTGAATGTGGGATCCATTATTGTTAAGACACACACACACCAGGGGGTGATAGAGAGAACATGCTTTTTCCAGCTCTTTTAGATCTGAAGTTTATTGCACTCAGTTAATTATGATTCAAGATGTTCCTTGGTGTGTTTTCTAAATACAGACTGCTAATTAAACAGACTCAAGAAAATTGTCAAAACCTAGCCAAAGCACTCTGCTGATTCCCCGATCTTTTGTTCTGATGCTGTGACCGTAAAAAATGTTCTCACACTGTATGTTTTCTAAGTGTTCCCAAACTTTCTTTCAATGTGTGAGAGAGATGATTGCATATAAACTCTTCAAAGCTCTTGCACTTAAAAGGAGACAGTCGTTCTAGTGATTTATGGTTGATATCTTCCCCTAGAACCTCTCAAAACATATTATAGGAAAGATACAAAGAAGGCTAAAAGATGCATTATTTTTTAGCTTTTTATATTAGTTTTTTAAAGCATAAAAATGTTTTGCTACCTTTAACAAGTACTTTGTCAATCCCCCTTTCTCTTAAAAAAGCGGGGGGGGGGGCAATAAAAATATTATAGGATTTTATGGCTCTTCTGCTGCTGGTAGATGAAGTTTCCATTTAAGTCTACCAAGCAGACCTTTCCTTAAGTTTACAGGTTTTTAATCTAGACGCGTAAGACTGCCAAATCAATGTTGTCAACACCTGTAAATTAACTTTATGATGCTGCATGGCAGAATGGCAGTGCACATTATTGGGGTGGCAATTTTTAGAGTTTGTGCATTGAAATGACTCTTAAATGGTGAGGATTGGGAGTTGAGGAGAGAAAGATGAACTGTGGCCAAACCAGGCATATAAATGATAAAACAATAAAACAGGGGAAGCTCAGGCCTTGTGGCTGAATGTGGCCCCCCATGTTTCTCAATCTGGCCCTCATAATTCCACCCAAGTTACACCCCTCACTGTCCCTATTTTGCAACCTGAGTGTATTATTATTATTATTATTATTATTATTATTATTATTATTATTATTTGTACATTTGTACATTTGTATCCCACCTTTCCTCCAAGGAGCTCAAGGTGACATACAAAGTTCTGCTCCTCATTATATGCTCACAACAACCCTGTGAAGTAGGCCAGACTGAGAGACAGTGACGAATCCAAAGGTCTCGCAGTGCGCTTCATGGCTGGTAAAGGTAAAGGGACCCCTGACCGTTAGGTCCAGTCGCGGATGACTCAGGGGTTGTGGCGCTCATCTCACTTTATTGGCCGAGGGAACGGGCGTACAGCTTCCAGGTCATGTGGCCATCATGACTAAGCCACTTCTGGCAAACCAGAGCAGAGCACGGAAGCACTGTTTACCTTCCCACCAGAGTGGTACCTATTTATCTACTTTTACTTTGATGTGCTTTCGAACTGCTAGGTTGGTAGGAGCAGGGACTGAGCAACGGGAGCTCACCCCGTCGCGGGGATTCAAACCGCCGACCTTCTGATCAGCAAGACCTAGGCTCTGGTTTAGACCACAGCGCTACCCGCCACTCACATGGCTGAGTGAGGATTAAAACCCTGTTTCCAAGATCCTAAAAACAGAACACTGTTTTCTTGCTCAACCCTACTAGGCTCCTTACAGGTTACAGCACACCCAACCTTTTTCTCAGAACCCACCCTCCTCAGTAACTATCCACACCCCCACAGAAAAACATTTAAGTTCCACAACAGCCACAACAATATGGTTGTATCTATGAGCCTCTTAGCTTCTGCACAGAAAGTGGCACAGAAATGTTCTCCCACAACCCCTTAGATGTTTTTCAGCACCTCAGTTGTTGTCTCCTAATCCTTCACAGTTGCTGAATAAACTGAGTGAGAACGATTTCAGATTGCTGCCCATCATCTTCCAGCATTGTTTGTGGTGTCAGCTGGAGTTCTGGTTGGTTCCTGACTCTTTTACAGGTTTCCACCAGCAACTTTGGATAATTCATTGTTTGAATTATCTAAATGCTATCATGATGAAACGCACAGAGAGATGATGACTGGTGATGA